ATCTACAAGAAAGATAGAATGAGATGGAGGATGGAAAAGAAACAGGGGTTTTCCCCAAATGATTATTCTTTTTAGGGTTAGGGTGCACCTTTGTGGGATCTTGCACGCTACGAGGATGTAGATTTCAAGGCGCCACAGTTTTCTCAGGATAAAGTAACTTGACTGCTCTGCCGTTTGTCTCGAGTTCTTGGGCGTCAGACTGCACGACACAAGTCGGCCTTAGACTGCCGGAGTATTTTAAAAAAGATAGTTGTAAATTTGAGTGTAGCCTTCTTTCCAATTTTTCAGCAAAGGCACTCTAACTAAATTAAGTAGATCGGAAAGCGTTATGGACAGAAATCCGGGAGAACCTACTTAGAAAAAGGAAGCGTTTTTTGTATGATTACTCAGCGAAAGCAGCCTCTCCCCAAGATAAACAGTCTTGATTGCAGACTTCATAGTATTTGAGCTGCGCCAACTTGTCTTTTTTGCCATTTATCGGGGTAAATTTTAGCAAGTCTGGCGGAGGACGGGTTTCCGAGGTGGAAAATAAGATAGTCCAAATCAGCACGTGCACACAAACTGTTGTCGAAAACCTACTTTAATCCAAGTAAAAACAAACAAACAAGACCTTTTGTTCTCCTGGATGGTCTCAACATCTACTCTCGAGAATGATAATCATTGACAGAAGTTTCACTTCAACAACCCATCCACTCCAAAAAGCCAGTCCTTCTTCCCCAGAATTCACTTTAGGTGCCATAAGAACACCTTATCAACAGTAATTATGGTAGACTTGACCAGGTAACTCACTTCAAAAGAGGAGTATATATAACCCTGACATGCACGAAAAGGGGTAATGGGGTTATTCAAAAGCAATGCCGTTTAATGCCTTTATCTTCCTCGAGACGGAAGTCGAGACATCATCAAATTAATCAACTAACAAAGGCATCTCCGGTGGGCAATTTGATCGCAAACGTTTCATCACCAATCGAGGTGACATCGTCAGTGTGTTGTTAGGGACTGTAGCGGTGCGTAGCGATGGGTTGGTTGTTATGCCTCTGTAGAAAAAGCATATCTTCTGATATCAATACGGTGTTAGAATTTTGTCAAAATTGGGGATCCTAGGGGTAGCGTGTCATGCTAAACACTTCCTCCAGAAATGAGAAAACTGAATCAGTACCTTCAAACATACTTTTTATTTGCATTCGTTGAGAAGAACGTTCAGTTAACCAACAGTCTTGGAAGCCGTTAAATGTCGAATAATTCATGCAGCCATTTAAAGGCCAGTGTAAACTATTTCAAGAACTTGGACAATAAGGGTCCTTATCTTACAATATTTTGGCACGTCCTCTGTTGTATGTCTTTTACGGTACATACAGAACTTATGTGACATGTCAGCATACATGAAGAAGCTGATATATATTCAGACAGGCATACGGGTATAGGCTGGAGGTTGGATGGTCACCAAATATGGATGGGAATAGGAATTCATATATATA